TATATATATATATATATATATATATATATATATCTGGAGATGTAAACTCTGGGGGGTGGGGAAGAGTGCTTTCCACTACTGGTGGTTCATACATTGTTGATGGGAACCAAAATCTCTTGTGTATCTCCATAAGAGAGCACCATCTACAAAGCGATGCATTTATGGTATCTTGCCCCATCTTGCACCCCTCCTTGCTCCAAAATAAAATGTTGGAAGACATGTAGGGATACATGGTTGGTTTCCTTAAGTGTGTTCTGGGCTCAAATTTGGGGGTGGGGGTAAATTTGCAGTCATTTTTGTCATGCTTTTCTTGGTATACAGCCCCTACAAAATGTCGTGCTTTTACATTTCAAAGTGCTTGAATGCTTGTGTATAGCCAGACTGTCTTCAAGACAGCTATGCCCTGTTGGAATCTGGGGTAAGCTATGTAGTGGAAATCTGGGGTTATTTGGCTAAAGGGTTCATGAGAGAGCCTCTCCCACAAATGACCAACTTTTAATTTGCTAAGTGCTCTAAAATCAGGTACACAGTGAAGCTAGGGTGGGGAGCTGAGAATAAGCAGGCAAATCTTATACCATTGACAGGTACATAGTTCTCAGAGTTGGTAGGGGTGGGGTGTAAGGTCAGGGAAACTAAGAGGAGGCTCAGTTGAAGATCAGCTAAAGATCAGCTTGAGCTCTTCAAGGAAATGCTTAGTGAATGAGGCCCTGGCAGTTGCTCCACTCACCTCAACTCAGCTGGTTGCTTGGGGAGGCTGGTGCTCATCTGCAGTCCCAGTGACTATGAGTTCAGATCCTCTCCTCATCTGACTCTTGTGATTGAATTTTAAGCATGTGGAGTCCACATACAGATGCATCTGGGTTCATCTTGTATCCGGAATCAGAGCCATTCTCAATGCAAATGGTCTGGGTCCTAAAGGGATAGCAAGACTGAAACTCTACTCACCAGTCCTGCTGGTTTCTCCAGCTGCTAATTGTGGACATGGGAGAAGTGCTAGCAAAGTCTCCCTACAGCACCCCTTTGGTCCCATAATTGCCCCTCAATCATGCCCTATATAATTTTTTGAAAACTGGAAGTTCACATGGAAAAAGATATTTGTAGGATATACATGCTTCTGCATTGCCTTGTGCCTCATTCTATTCCAGAACATAAGATTAACTTCCCCAATTTAAACATTGGCAAATGAGCAAATGCAAAGTTGAAATGACTTTCCCATATGAGCTTATCTTTTTTTTCTTTTTCTCCTTGATGTCTGAACAGAGGAGTCTTCGTCATCCCTTAGCCTCTTCCAATCAGTAGCAAGTATTCAGGTCACTGATGCTTTACAGAATACAGTGAAAGTCCATTGAACAGCCTGAATAGAAGTGCTGATTTGGAGCTGTACAGGGCTTGGTTAGAGAAAGGGGGTTATGATACTGTGGTAATCCCAGTTCCTGTAGCGATCCCTGTGGGGGATCACTTAGGTTTGTGGGAAAGTATTGCTTTAACACTTTTCAGTGTTTTGCTTTTTAACACTTGTTTTGTTCTTGTAACATTAACCTTTTGAGGTACATGTAAGAGGACCCTGCATTTCTTGGTTTGCCAATGTTGGAATTTTGGGAATTAGGCTCATATTCTGGAAAATCATGAGTACAGGGCAGTGCTGAGTACCTATTACTTTATCTGTATGTTAACTAACTGTTTTGCATGTGAATAAAAATATATTTGAGGTGGTCATGGGAATTTTAGTTTTACAGCTTTGTGCTTCAGAATTTCCTTTTTGAATTCATGTTTCAGGTGCATTCTTGTAAGTAAGCTTAATTCACACACTGTTTCCCTGTATTGATTTCAGAGTGTATCCTGGAAACATCTTTGTATATAAACTGTAAGAATGTTTTGAGATGGATGTAAATATTGTTTTTTCAAAACACGACTTGCTGCTTTGTTTAATAGGCGAGCAGGGAAGCTTTAGCCATGGATCTGTTATTGATGGAAGATTTGAAGGATTTATCCAGACTCACAGTGGCACCTTTTACGTTGAGCCAGCAGAGAGATATATTAAGGACAGAACCCTACCATTTCACTCTGTCATTTATCATGAAGATGATATCAGTAAGTATTCCCACTCTGTGCTGTAGACAAAGAGAAAACGTTTTGATTAAATGTAAAACTGCCTAAGCCAATGGTAAGTTTCAAACTGAGGGGTCTACAGAGACAAATATTCCAAGATTCTCATTATCATACAACAGTACGAGTCATGATGTTCTGAAGTGATCCATGTGCAGGTATGGTATGAAAGGAGTCTAGTGCAGGCACAAACCTTACCCCACTTCAAACTTGTTTTGTTTTTTATTCACTACTTGGCCTCTTGGACTAGCCCTCTAGCTGCCAGACTAGTGGAGTGGAGTACTAGTGGAGATCTTTCCTGCAAAGTTAACATAAAGCCTTCCCTTGAGCTCGTTAAAATGTCACATACTGGCCATGATGCTTTCTTGTGAAGTTCTGTGGTATCCAAAAGGAGGGATGAGTAATCTTAATTCACATTAAAGTGCTCCTAGCTTCATATAATTATGTAAGAAAGATGCCCAATTTAGCCATGTGGAAAGCAACAGCTTTCCCTGCACATATGGGTCCCAGACTCCTTCAGACTGGTACTTAAAAGGTGCAGTAACAGCTAGCATCTGGCATTCTGGGGCACAGTTCTGAGGGGAATTTTCAGTTGACGAGAAAGTGCAGAAAATGCTAGCTACAAAGGTCATAGATTGTAATGCTAGAAGGGACCATTGTAATTATCTAGCCAGATCTCCTATATAACGTAGGCCCTAAGGCTTCTGTACATTTTGAATTAATTCCTGTTCAAACTAGAGCATATCTTATAGAAAACCGTCCAATTTTGATTTTAAAAATTGCCAAAAATGGCGAATCCACCTCGACCTTTGGTAAGTTGTTCCAGTGGTTAATTACCCTGTTGTAAATTTACATCTTATTTCCAGTCTGAATTTGTCCAGCTTCAACTTCCAGCCTTTGTATCGTGCTGTACTCTTGTCTTCTACATTAAAGAGCCCATTATCAAAGTTTCACTTCCCACATAGGTACTTATAGACTGATCAAGTCACCCCTTATCCTTCTCTTGTTAAACTAAATAGATTGAGCTCCTTGAGTCTATTGCTGTAAGGTGTAAGGCATTGTTTTTCAATACTTTTAATCATTCTCATGGCTCTTTTTCTGAACCCTCTCCAATTTATCAACATCCTTCTTGAATTGTAGACTCCAGAACTGAACAGAGCATTCCAGTAGTGGTTGTACCAACACAATAGAGGTAATATAAGCTCCCCACTCCTACTTGAGATTTCCCAGTTGATAGATCCAAAGATCACGTTAGCGGCAGCCCTTTTGGACACAGTGCTACACTGGGAGCTGGTGTTCAGCTGATTATCCACCGCAATGCACATACCTTTTTCTCAGTCATGGCTTTCCAGGATAGTGTCCTCCATTCTGCAAGTATGGACTATATTCTTTGATCTAAATGTGTAACTTTACATTTGGCCATATAAAATATGTGCAGCCTTACCAAGTGATCCATGTTGCTTTGTAGCAGTGACCTGTCTCCTTTACCACTCCCTGCGCCTTTGTATCATCCGCTTGTGCACATTAATAATAATGTTAAGTAGCTGTAGGGCCAGGAACTGGTCACTGAGACCAAACTAGAAACATCCCTATTTGATGACTGTACCCTAATCACAATTCAATTTTGGGTCTGTCTACACTGTAGCTGTCTATACTGCAGCTGGAGCTCAAACTAGCACATTAAAAATAACAGTGTAGGCGTCGTAGCATGGGCTCTCAAGCTTAGTTTTGATGTCAGATACTGACTCCGTGTTTGCTTTATTAACCAAATTTATAATCTTGTCAAAATACATAGTTTTAAAAGATCTATTTTCCACAGTCCTGTGTCAGTTGCTTCCTTATTTTGACCGGGATTAATGTCAGGCTGATAAGCCTATAATTACCAGGGTCATACAGGGTCATACTTGATGCATCTGAAGAAGTGAGGTTTTTACCCACGAAAGCTTATGCCCAAATAAATCTGTTAGTCTTTAATGTGCCACCAGACTCCTTGTTGTTTTTGTCAGGGTCATCCTGTTAACCTTTTAAAAATATTGGTACATCAGCTTTCTTCCAGTCTTCTGGAACTTCCCCAGTGTTCCAAGAGTTATTGAAAATAGCTCTTCAGTCAGCTCTGTAACAGCTCTTGTTTGCAAGTTGTCCTGACGTGCTGATTTTAAAATGTCTGACTTTAGAGCAATAGTTGCCAACTGGTCGATCCTAGAGGATCTTCTAATCGATTGCGGTCTCTGATGGCAGCGCAGTGTGGCTACCACTTAAGGCAGACTCCCTGCCTACCCCGGCCCCATACGGCTCCCAGAAGCGGCTACTGCAGGAGGGGGGCGGAGCAGGGGTCTCCCTCTGCGCCCTGCTCCTGCCTGCAAGCACTGCCCCCGCTCCCATTGGCCAGGTGAGCTGCGGGGGCGGTGTTTGCAGAGGGGGGCAGTGCATGGAACCACATGCTCCCCGCCGCAGGGGCGCGTAGGCCCCTTCTGGGGGCGGTGTGAGCCCGGGGTAGGCAGGGAGCCTGCCTTAGCCTCGCTGAACCTGCTGCCCAGCGGGAGGCCGCACTCCAACCCGGATTCCTGAGTCCCTTCCTGGAGCCCGCACCCAAAGCCCCACCCTGAGCCCCCTTCTGGAGCCAGCACCTCATACCCCCTCCTGCACACCAAGCTCCAGTCCTAATCCCTCAGCCAGAGCCAGCACCCCATCCCCCCTCCTGCCCCCAAACTCCCTCCTAGAGCTTGCACCCCTCACCCCCTCCTGCATCCCAACTCCCTGCCCCAGGTTCAGCCCAGAGCCCCCCTCACACTGTGAACCCCTCGGCCTCAGCCCAGAGCCCACACCCCTCCCCAACCCCTGCCCCAGCCCGGTGAAAGTGAGGGATGGGGGCCTCGGGGAAGGGGTGAGGTAGATTCTGGGTTGCCCTTGGATTCAAAAAATGATCTTGGGCGTAAAAAGGTTCGAGACCACTGCTCTAGAGGCTGCTGTTTTAATGTCCTTCTGAGTTTCTGTTAAAATGGAAAGAGTTTCTTCATCATTATCTATTTAATTTTGCTTTGATTTTTCATTGATATCAGCTTAGGATAACTTCAGGACTTGTGTACATTGTAATATTTTAAAAATTAATGTATAATGTTTACTAAGACACCTCAAAACGATTTGTGAGACACCTTCCAAAGCATACTGTCTTACGCCGTGAGGACGCGAAGTAAGTAATTTGAATTCAATCTAAGATACGTCGACTTCAGCTACGCTATTCTTGTAGCTGAAGTTGTGTATCTTAGATCAATCCCTCCTAGTGTAGACCAGGCCTTAGATATGTAATCTTGTTTGTGATTGTAGTTTAACAAACAGGCTCTTAGTTCTTCTTGCTGTATAATCTATAACTGCTTCTAACTCTCATGACATAGATAACAGCTCGTACTGGAGAAGCAACAAAAAAAGGTCTGTGCTATTTCAGCAGGTTGTGGGGGAGGGGAAGGAATCTTTTTGCTTTAAGATGGAATATTTTTGGTCAGCTGTGTTTGAACCTTTTGAAACGATATACTTTTAGAGCCTTTTCAGGAACCATAATGCAACATATGATTAGCATCTCAATGAAGTCTTATTCAGTAGTCAAACAAAAGTTTTTTTGTAAATGGGGATTATATTGTCATCTTTATAAGCAGGCTTTTGTCGGTTACAGTGGATGTGGTGACCAGTGGAAGGCAGCCTTCTATTCATGACTCTGAACACAAAATGAATGATTTCAGATTCCTGAGCCACTCCCAATCAAACTGTTTTATAACTCAGTGCCAATATGATGCTAATTAGTTGCATTCATTGATGGATTAGTTTTGGAAACCAGTTCTTCTACACAGTAAGGCTTTCAAAGGAACTCTTTATTTAAATATGTGAACTATATAATATGTTCTTGAGTCACATTATGAAATACAAAATGACTTGCATGTTTACTCAGGTTAGTTGTGGAAGGGAAAGCCTGCTCATAATTCTTTTGCAGTAAGTCATAAAGGAAGTGGAAATTTTGGTGGCCTCTTCAAGGCCTTGGAGAAGTTTTAATCATTTAAAAAAAAAATCATCCTGTACCTGTTCTGGTGAGTCCATATTTTGGTAAGGTAGCTTTATTCACCATGAATAAATTTACTCAAATTTACAAATTGTGTTTTTAATTACAACTTGCATTTCTGTGCCCACTACTTGTGGTAACCATCTTGTCGATAAAAATATTTTTGAAGGTGTTATGGGAACCCAGTGTGAGTGGTTGATAGTTCAGAAAAAAAAACTACTCCTTTAATACAGGTTTAACGTCTATTTATAAGTTTTAAAATTGTTAGTTTTTCTTAAATCACTTTGTGAGGAACCATGTGTCTAAATCCAGTGTACTTTTAATTATTTAACCATACATTGCTTCGTAAACAGTGCCATCAACTAACAAATGGGGGACGGGAGGAGGTGACCTGGTTTCTTGCTCTCCAGACTGATATTACACTTGGTATTCTGACAGAGTAAAAATAGATTTCTCACTTAAAACATCCCTGGTTACTAATGTCATGAACACTTCATAGCTGTTCTGCCTGCTAGTTACATGTAAAATGTTATGGCCCTCACTAAATATTGAGGACAGTAGGGATTTTAAAGGGATTATATGTAAGGATATGTAAAAAGTTCCCCAGTGTGGTCTCTGTTTCAAATATCTAACACAGGGGTAGGCAACCTTTCAGAAGTGGTGTGCCGAGTCTTCATTTATTCACTCTAATTTAAGGCTTCGCGTGCCAGTAATACATTTTAACGTTTTTAGAAGGTCTCTTTCTATAAGTCTATATTATATAACTAAACTATTGTATGTAAAGTAAATAAGGTTTTCAAAATGTTTAAGAAGCGTCATTTAAAATTAAATTAAAATGCTGATCTTACGCCACCAGCCTGCTCAGCTCGTTGCCAGCCTGGGGTTCTGTTCACCTAGGCCGGCAGTGGGCTGAGCAAGGCCTATGGCCGGGACCCCA